TTGTCTTTGATATGGAGCATGAATTTTTGTATGATATGTCTAATGCAATAGACATGTGTTAAAGGGGGATCCTGCCAACCGTTATCAGGATTATTGTATGCACTTTCAATCGATGGATGTTTGTCTGAAATCAAACAAAGGTTGGGTTGAGGAGCAACGTGTAATCGGAGATTCTTCAGAAAGAAATTCCATGCACCACCTGCATCACCTTCAACTAGAGCGAAGGAAATCGGAAAAACATTAATGTTGCCATCTTGTGTCACTTCCATGAGTAATGTTCCTTTATACTTTCCGTATAACCAAGTTCTATCAATCTGTATACTAGGTTTGCAAAATGCAAAAACTTTGATGCATGGTTCATACGCCCAGAACAATCGATGAAATATTCCATTTCCACTAGAGTTCTGTCTGGGGTAAATGTCAGGAGTATCTCCAAAATTATAACAATTCCTAGAGTATAATATTTGAGTTCCACCAAAAATCTTGGAAGTTCTTTGTACGATTCCTCCAAATTACCGTACACAAGTTCAACTACCTTAGTTCTCGCGATCCATGCCTTCCTATAAGAGGGAGTATAATTGAATCTTGTAATGATATGAGAAATAATTGTACTCACCTTTAATGATGGATCCTTGCTAATAAGAGGCAAGATTTCTTGACACATTAGTTGAGAACTAAGTTTCTGATGATCCTGCGTCAGAATGGTGGTGATGCAAGTGTGGAGTGGATCAATGGTACATATTTCCCATGAATCACTTCTCTTCTTGTAAGATGCAGTTAAACGAAAAGAGAAAATTGGTTTTTGACGATATAAAATAATGTACCTCCCTGAATTAGTTTGATCTACACTGAAATCAGCTAAAATTTCCATGTGGTATTTTTTTATAGCTCTAACACACTCTTCTTTTTTACGAAATCTGTCTCCAACTTTCAAGGCCCCTTCAGTCTGCATATAAGGATTGTGAAAGATATCTAAGGATGATTCGTCTTCCCCCAAATTCAAGTTCTTCGTATGAAACAGAGGGTCGTACGCATGACTCTTAGGTACATGTTCATGCTCTTAATTTGCATCGGCATTATTGACCATAAAATCAATTATTGCCTCATCATCTTCTTCTTCTTGGTCAATAACATCGACTTCGGGGTGCTTTTACTCATCATATTTATCCTCTTCTTCAAAATCTTGAGAAGGATCTACCACCTGATATTGACTAGGTTGTTAAAATAAAACATACAGCTCAATCTCATTGAACCCGGATTGTTCATGAGTTCGAAACATGTTTCGAACATCATCATCTTCGTGCACCTTTAGTTGATAAAATATGACTAGGTTGTTGTCAAATAGAAAAGGAGACTTGGAAATAATTTAGAAAGCTGGACCACACTGCAATTTTGCTTCTAGTCTATCTTTGAAGCGTGCAAAACTTGATTTCTTGTTTGTCCGAAAGCGGATAAAATTGGTATTACGGAAATTAAAACCGAAGTTATCGCAGTTGTTAGTCTCATCGTTAATATGAGCAACAATAATATAATATTGTGAATGATCCATCTATTGAGGTTTATTTTTTGTGAGTTATGGATGTATACCAGTAATACGCCCTAAATAGACGCTTAAATAGACTGATGAAAGTATGGGGTGTATACTTTATTTTGTAAGCATGCGCCACCTAGGGTGGCTTGTCCTCTTTATTTTGTAAGCGTGCGCCACCTAGGGTGGCTTGTCACGTGAACAACAGGCTTGTATGTATGTCATCTGATTAATGCCACGCTGCAGCTTTTCATGCATGCAAAAAAGTAACAAGCCATGTTGAATGACACCTTAGTGTAAAAAACAAAAGCATACGCCACCTAGTATGACACCTATGTGTAAATTGCATGCAGAGGGTTATCACGTGAATGCATAGTGTTCCTCAATATTTTATTATAAATACATATAACATTCACCCTATATGTTCATCACAATCATAACTCACACATTATTTCTTTCTTGAAACATCAACAAGAACACAAGAGTAACCAAGAAAAAATGGCTCTCTTGACCATGAATGATCAACATAGAGGAACTCTCAACAACATTGAAACCTTTGTAAGTTTATTTTCTTCAATACCTGTTAATTATCGACAAATTTGACTTTCGTAGTTCTTATGATTGTTATACGTAAATCTTATATTTCTTATACGTAATTCATGTTTTTAACAGGATATTAAAAGATTTTGTTGCCGTGTCCATGAGTATGTCCCTTACAACGTACAAATTGAACCGTACTTATGACAAGCCGATTTTGGTCCATTACTTAACATAGTCAATTACCATGTTAACTATAAAATTATTCTCGCAATAGTGGAAAGATGGAGACCCGGAACTCACACCTTTCATCTTCCATGTGGTGAATGTACCATCACACTAGAGAACATGTATATGTTATTCGGTCTATCGATTGATGGTAAGACTGTCAATGACCGAGTCAACCAAGACAACACCATATGCGAGGAACTTTTGGGAGTCTATTTATTTGAACAAGGGTCTAGAGGCCAAAGTATTAATCTCCGTCTTTTTAGAGAATATCATAGTAGTCTCGTAGTAACCGAGAATTCTATTGAGCAAGAAAAAATTGTGAAAGCTCGGTGTTACATAATGATATTATTTGGCCACTTTTTTTTCCTGAAACAATGAGTAATACTGTTAATATCATATATTTACCTTTGTTAAGACATTTTAATAAAATAAACACATATAATTGGAGCTATGTTGTTTTTGCCCATCTGTATAGTTCCCTGTGTAAAAACGCATCGAACAACAACTGTTCTTTCTATTCCTGTGCCTTTTTGCTCCAGACATGGTGCTGGTCGAGAATGCGACACTCGCCCCCCCCCCCCCCCCCCCAAAACACAAGGCCATTCGTCTTCCCCTTTGCTATAAAGTAAGATTACGAAAACAAATTTTTTACATACTATATACTATAACCAACATGTATTAATTTATTACCCATTTTTCCTATGTAGGTGGTCTGTTCATGGGATGAATTACAATAAATCCCCTAGAAACGTAATAGTAGTATACCAAAATCTTATTGATCATGTTGGACCGAAAGAGATATTAAACTTACATATTTTATACAATGCTTTTAATAGGTTAATTAAGTTTAACATTAATAGTAGCTTAACACTCTTTTTCCTCTACAGTTAGTATGGAGGCCGTATAAGGATCTCGACCATGAGATTAACCCAACAGATGCTAAAGTCTGAACTGTAAAAACAACACTCATCAGGTTCACTACTATGGAGATGCACCACAGTGATCGTGTGAAGCTACAGTTCGGCATGCAACAGGGTATCCCAGACCCCCCCTACATGTTTGGGACAATGACATCTACTCAGAGTTGACGACCAATCGAGATTTAATGATTTGAGAGACTTCGCTAAAAATCAATGTCTTCAATGGAGGCATCGACGTGAATTGGTCCTAAGGGAGCCAATCTAGCAAGATGACTTAAAACCAACTGTCCAATATTTGACACGGTACACATCGATTTCAACGAATTTGTTTATGTCTCATGAGGCATATTTGATCGACCCACGTCAAAGAGCTGCATCATACGCCCAACAACAACCCCAACATCCAACCCCTCATCAATACCAAACCCAACAACAATGTCAACCTACTCAAACCCAACAACTATACACCACCACATCCAACCAAACTCGTTATTAATTCATGCCACACACAAAGACATAATACTAAGAGCACGACCCGACTCACCACCAACAATATGCATCCTCCAATCCTACCACAACACTCAAGACACATATGATAAATCTCCTTCCTACCATACCACTCAAGCTAAATACAATCAAACATCACACCATCGAAGTACCCAACCATCATATGGATTTCATACACCATAAGAATCGTTGCTTCGTTTCCAACACGATTCAATATCCCAATACTATCAACCATCCCACCCACACATATCCCAACCAACAATACCAAACTTCAACAACATGGGCACCGATCTCTTTGGAAGCACAACACAGTGGGGCAAAATGATCGATGAGATGTATGATCCTGATGTATCAGGACCATCACATCAAGCACCTCATCATCAAGCGAGTCAGAGCAGATCTCAAACACCTCAGAAAAATCAACAGAGAAGAGTGAGGCAAAGGCGGGACCGTTTATGTCATACTGAGACCCGTTAAGGTTGAGGGGACGTCCGGAAAAAAATGTATCCATGCATTGTGTAATATAAAATATTAATATAAAATATATTTAGTTACTTTTACTTTTATTTAAAAAAATTAATAAATACAATTGTCAAGCCACACAAGATGGCACCTCCTCTCTAATAATGCATGCATGCGCGACACTGCATGACATTACACAGGAGGAAGTCATACAGTGTAGTGCATTCTCTTTAATTTGTATGCATGCGCCACATAGAGTGACACCTCCTCTATGTGACGATTTTTTTTATTTGAAAAATGATTACTTTAATAAATTTTTTGAAAATGTAATTATTTAAGAATTTTTTTTGAAAAAAATAGTTATTTATAAAAAAAAATTCGGAGGATTTGTTAGAGTTATTTATAAAAGACAGAAATCCATACCATAGGATAATAAATATTTTTTGTATATTAAAAATAAAAAAGACAAATAATTCCATATAAGTAATAAAATTTATTAGTTTTAAAAAACTTTAAAACCCCAACCAAAACATACAAAAATGTAAACAATAATACCTAACAAACACAATCTGTAGTTAATTGCGTATCACTTTCTTTCGCTTTCCTCAGCTTCCATCCTCCCACATTTATTTCACATAAATAATATATATATATATATATATATATATATATATATATATATATATATATATATATATATATATATATATATATATATATATATATATATATATATATATATCATATTTGTATCAATAATTTCTTATATAAGGTGTTGATCATTCATCATCATTGATCACAACACATAAATAAAAATGAAAAGAGAGTGTCATCCATTGTTGAGAGGTGTGAGAGCTAACAAATACAAACATGGTTTTTCTGTAGCTGAGATGGATTCACTCACAAGCATATGTGAAGCTGTTTTTCCTTCATTGCCAATGGATGATGATGATGAGTCAAACAACGATGTCAAATCTTTCTTCAACCTCTCTGCTTCTCAGTATCCATTACCTCACGAGGTACGGTTTCTTGATTTGTTTTCATTGTTGAATACTTGAATTCATGTATATTATTACACTATGATTCTGAATTATGAATCCAATAGGTTGCTGAGACGTTAGTAAAGAGAGGTTTAACAGAAGCAGTGATATTGATTAGAGTGATTCTATGGCTTCTGTCCACGAGGTTTGGGACTTTTTTGATTTGTGGTTTTCTCTGTCTTAGTAAGAAATGGCCATTTATCAACAATTTTTCAAGCTTGTCTTTGGATCAAAGAGAAAAGATTGTGCAGAGGTGTCTCAAGCTTAGGTTCTTAACTCCTATAAGACTCGCATTTGTTTACATCAAAATCCTATGTCTCTTCGGTTTCTTCTCTCGGGTATAATTGATTCTGTCTTTATAATTGATTCGAAAATAAAGATAGAATTTATAACTTTTGATTCTCTCGGGTATATTAATGTGTTTAACTATAACTTATTTTCTCAAAGTAAATGAAAATTGAACTTTTATGAAACATAGTAAGCTTAGAGAAAGTGAAAATTTTGCAGGTTGATGAAAATGGCGATAATCCAGCATGGAAAGCCATTGGATATGATATATCATCATCTGGTGAGGAAATGAGCAATCTCGGCGATAAAAAGAGACCTTTAGAAAATGGGATTATAGAAACCATGCATGAAAATGACACGACTCTTGAACAATCTCTATCAAACAAAGGTCTCAATGTTAGATTTGATTCCAAAAACAAGATCCTCAAAATCAAATGTGATGCAGTAATTGTTGGTTCTGGCTGTGGAGGAGGAGTAGCAGCTTCTGTGCTTTCAAAAGCGGGCCACAAAATCATTGTTCTAGAGAAAGGAAACTACTTTGTTCCTAAAGATTATTCATCGCTAGAAGGTCCTTCGATGGATCAACAATACGAATGTGGAGGCATGTTAGCTTCTGCTGATTCAAGAATGATTGTTTTAGCAGGTTCAACCGTTGGTGGGGGTTCAGCTGTTAATTGGTCAGCCTGTATAAAAACACCAAAAGAAGTGTTGAAAGAATGGGCAAAGAAACACAAACTTTCGCTCTTTGAAAGCTTTGAGTATCTATCTGCAATGGAAACTGTGTGTGAGAGAATTGGTGTGAACGAAAATTGTACACGAGAAGGGTTTCAAAATCAAGTACTGAGAAAAGGATGTCAAAATCTCGGATTAAAAGTTGATTATGTTCCAAGAAACTCCTCCGGGAATCATTATTGTGGTTCATGTGGTTATGGTTGTAGAAAAGGTGAGAAACAAGGGACTCAAGCTACATGGCTTGTAGATGCTGTTGAAAATGGTGCAGTGATAATAACAGGATGTAAAGCTGAGAGGTTTTTGTTCGAAACTAATAACCGAAATGGAAGTATAAGAAACAAGAAATGTTTGGGAGTGTCGGCCAAGATTTTAAACAGTAGAGTCACAATGAAGCTAGAGATTGAGGCCAAAGTGACAGTTTCTGCTGGTGGGGCAATTATGACACCTCCATTGATGATTTCTAGTGGTTTAAAGAATAGAAATATTGGTAGAAATCTTCATCTTCACCCTGTGTTAATGACATGGGGTTACTTTCCAGAATCAAATTCAGATTTCAAAGGTAATCACTAACTTCGTGCAGTCTCCCTCCAAATACAAGGTCTCTTTGGAGGACTGTCTCTATATTTTGATAGTGTGATTTGTAACAGGTAAAGCATATGAAGGAGGAATAATCACATCTGTTCATCAAGTACAATCATCAAGTGATGATTCAGATTCAGATACAAGGGCAATAATCGAAACACCATTACTAGGACCAGCATCATTAGCAACACTATGTCCATGGGAATCAGGCCATGATTTCAAACAAAGAATGCTAAAGTATCCAAGAACATCACATTTAATAACAATAATAAGAGACAAAGCAAGTGGACAAGTAACAAAGGAAGGAAGAATAAGCTACAAACTGAATTCAACCGACAAAGAGAATATGAGAAGTGGTTTACAACAAGCAGTAAGGATTCTAATAGCGGCCGGAGCAGTTGAAGTAGGAACACACAGAAGTGATGGACAGAGAATCAAGTGTAATGAGAATATTAGTGAAAAGGAAATTGAAAAGTTTATAGATAGTGTTTGTCCTGTGGAAGCAGCATTGTCACCAGGTGAGAATTGGAATCTATATACTTCTGCTCATCAAATGGGAAGTTGTAGAATGGGTGTGAATGAAAAGGAAGGTGGTGTCGATGAAAATGGTCAGAGTTGGGAAGCTGAAGGACTGTTTGTTTGTGATGCAAGTTTGCTTCCTAGTGCTGTTGGTGTTAATCCTATGATTACTATTCAATCAACTGCTTATTGTGTATCAAATCGAATTCTTGATTATCTTGGAAAGGGTACTCAAGTATCATAAATTTGTTGATTTTGATTTTGTAAATGTTGGAACACGTGAATATTTCAATATGGGGATGGATTGAATTTTTTTTTGAAGTCCTACTTTGTTTAAAAAAAACTTGTTTGTGTGTTAATAGAGAGAGCTCTATTTTTATTGGGAAATGGTATGTTAGTGATAGTCTGTTTAAGTTAAATTAAAATAAATATAATGTCTTTTTTTTTAATGTTTGGCATATTAGACTTTGGTATGTAAATAAGTGTGTTATTTCATTATTGCTATTTACAATTTTTCTGATTATACTATTGTATACCTAACGAAGAATAAACATGAAATGCTTGATATGTTTAAGAATTTTATTAATGAAATTGAAAATCATTTTAGTACAAAAATTAATAAGATTCTTTGTGATAGGAGAGTTGAGAATGATTCTAGTTTATTTAATAAATTTTATAAAAAAAATATGAATTGTACATGAAACTACTATACTATATTCTCTTGAAATGAATTGTAAAGTAAAAGGAAAGAATAAAACTCTTTCTGAATTAGCTGTTGCTATTATGTTAAGTTTTAGTATTACGTTCTATTACTGTGAGGAAATTTTATTGATTATTTATTATGTCATGAATAGAGTTCTCAATTATAAAAAATAGATCTTTTTTTATGAGATTTTGAAGAAAAGACAACCAAACTTGTATTATTTTAAAACTTGGGTCTATTTGGCGTATGTAGGATTTCAAATTTGAAGTGAGTTTTTTTTATACTAAAAATGATATTCATTCATTCAAATTGATAGAATACATCGAATATTACAAATTCAAAATCACTATAAACTAAAAAGGATGAATCTGCGAACAAACTCACAGCACTCATGTTAATAGCATATAACGGCAAAATGCCTACAAATGTGATAAAGTATACAAATATAACGAAATTAAAATGCTCGGAATACCCATGTCTCCGAGTATGCAGCATTGAGGACGTCAAACACATTGGTTGAATATGCACTGAGTCAGAACTAATCTGTCAATCTGAATCAAACAAACATCGCACCAAAGACGGAAAAACCAAATAACGCCGCAATAAGATGACGATCAACACAACTTCACACTAAGACAACGAAATCACAAAGGAAAAAATTAAAAATATATGGGAAATCACTTATTTAAATGAAAAGGAAAGGAAAAAGAATTCAGAGGGGTGATTTTGGATCAAAAATTGACCCTAAAACCACCCCTCTTTAGAGGATGAAGAACAAGAGAAAACTAGGATTGATGAAAGAAGGGAGGCATGAATTTGAAGTGAGTTAAACTCGCTAGTAGAGTCTATGAATGTGTATTGATTGGGTATGCAGTGATCATATAATCAAATAATGTTGAATTTTATGAAAATAAATTTTCTTTCAAATCGAGAAATGATTGGGACACTAAATCAAATCACATTTATATGATAAGAAGCACTAAAAGCAACAACGAAGTAAGAGAGTAATAGTTATTAAAGACTATGAGCCCAACTTTGCGACCTATGCAATAGAAGAAGATCTGGCAAATATTTAAGAAGTCTTGTCATCTCTAAATGCAGATTTCTAGCAAAAAAATATTAACGATGAGATAAATTCTCTAAAATCTAACATGACCTGACACTTGGTATACTTGTCTCCTGGTTACAAACCAACTGATTGTAAATAGGTTTTGAAAAAGAAACTAAAATCTGATGGAGCAGTTGATAAGTACAAGGTTCACCTTGTAGCCAAAGGCTTTATAGGTAAAGAGAAAATATATATTTCTTTGATACTTTTCTTTGGACACTAGAATTACATAAATTAGGTATTGATTTTAATTGTTGGTATTTATAACTTAATATTACACCAAATGGGTGTTAAAATAAGCATTTTAAACGGTGACTTGGAAGAAGATATCTATATGGATTAGCATGAAGAGTTTGTGATTTATGGGCAAGAAATTAAGATCTGTAAGTTAGATAAGTCTATGTATGATCTAAAACAAGCTCCAAAGCAATGGTATGAAAAGTTTTATAACTTAATATTATTGAATGTGTACAAAGTGAATGAAATTGATTAATGAGTTTATTACAAATATGAAAAATAGAATTTACATTGTCATATGTCTCTATGTAGACGACTTACTCATATTTGGATCAAACATTTAGCTTGTAAATGATGTAAAATCATTATTGTACATCAAATTTGATATGAAAGACCTCAGAGAAGGCGGTGTGATTCTTGGAATCAAGATCACTAATATCCACAGATCAATCTCACTATATGGGAAATTACACTAAGTGGAAAATCTCACTTTAAATGTAAAGCGGCTTGCATACCACACGATCCTAGTGTAAAACTATTTAAGAACACTAGTGATAGTGTTAGACAAAATGAGTATGCGAGCATCATTGGCAATCTTAGATGCCACTTATTGTACTAGATTCGATATTGTATATGTCATATGATTGTTGTGCATGTTTACTAGTAGACCAAACAGTGAATGTTGGCAAGTTATTAAGAGATTCATGTAATTCCTTGAAAGGACCATGAGTCTTGGTTTATATTATAAGAGATTTCTTTTTGTACTTGAAGGATACATCAATGCAGATTGAAGTACAAGTACATTATTAGATGATTGCAAAACAACTAGTGGTTATATATTCAATATAGGTGGAGGAGTTATATCTTGAAAATCAAAGAGACAAACTATTTTGGCTCAATCCACAATGGAGTTTGAAATGATAGCATTAGCAACTTTTAGTGAAGAAGCAAGTTGGTTAAGATGTTTTCTAGCTGAGATTCCTTTGTGGAAAAAACTTATGCCAGTTGTGTTGATCAACTATGATAGTGATGCATCTATTGCAAAATTTGAGAACCGTTATTAAAAGGGTAAGAGCCGTTGAATAAAAAGAAAGCACAACATTGTTAGAGAATGTATGTATCTCTAAAAGAGTTGTGATAGTGGATTAACTACGCACTGATGAAAACTTAGTAGATCCTTTAACGAAAACCTAAAGAGAAAATCCATAATACATCAATTGGGATAAGACTAATGCATATAGATGATTGAGTTATTCACAATGGTAACCCAACCTAAAAGACCAAAAATTCCAAGAATTAAGTTTAATGGGTAATAATAAATTGTGAGCAATATGTTATGGTCATCCTGGTATAAATAAGAGAAGCATGAATCCTTAAGAAATAAGAGAATGAGATAATGTAAACTCTTAATAAGATTTATACTACTTATGAGTGGATTACTTAGATACATGATTAATCTTAATATACTCACATGTGTGATTGTGGAACTTAGGTCGAATCCACTAGATGTTCGAGGCAGAAATCCTAGAGCCTTCACTAAATTGGAATAAACGTGCAGGACCATCAAAGCACGAGCTTATAGAATACACCTTAAGAAAAAATTTGTGTGTATTTGATGTCTAATATAGATTTCAATACAGTGAGTCACTCTTGTTGAAGTAAGAACCATACTTGTTATATAAAAGTTCAAGTCGTAGACACCTCTGTTTATGCACAATCTTAGAAATATTTAACTTTATTTCTGAAATTTTTTTGAATTCAAGTGGAGGATTGTTGGAACATATAAAAAATTCAAATATGGGGATAAATTGAATAAATATATATATATATATGAAGTCTCACATTGCAAGAAAACTATGTGTGTTTGTGTGTTAATTGAGAAAAATTTATGTCTCACATTGTTTAGCTTATTTCTAAGTCCCACAAGCTTAGATTATATATCTTGGTTTATTTTATTATATAAACAATACATATGTTTCATTTCAAAACACATCAAAAATTACTTCTGAGTTTTTCATTCCATCCTCTTTAATATGCGCCTCTTGAATGGTCGAAACATTAACTTCTTCTCCTTTCTTTCTACTCTTTGAACTATTAGAGTATTTTCTTGAGTTATCTTCGAAGAATTATTTAAATTTCTCCTCATTTTAAATCGCAATTGTATTTATGTCATGCATACGTTTTTGTGATGTCAAATGCGTGTTTTCGCGAATTTTTTTAAATTAGTTTTAGTAAAATACTACATATTCACTATACAAAATATCTAATTTTTTTTAAATATGTAAGAGTATTTAGAATTGTAATTAAAATTGAAAAAAAGTTTAGTCAAGTTGAAATCGTCTCACCTCGACTTAATTCGTTAAGAATTGATTTAACATGAAACTTAACTCAAGTTTGACATAAATACTTTTTAAATTCAAACTTAACTCATTTTAAATTCACGAACAACTTTGGTTAAACTCGTTAGATTTGGATGTTAACTTCAATTTGTTTGATTCACATATTTAAAACTCATATTTTAAAAAATTCTATACATTTGACATTTTAAATTAATATTTTTAAAAAAAAAATATTGAAAAATTAAAAATTATAAGATTTGAATTGAAACTTGTTTCAAAAATATATTGTTCTAGACTGGGCCTGCACTTGACCCAAACATCATACAAGACCCAATCCAACTACGTTACATGAGAAGGCCAGCAAGAAGAGTCTGCCCTCGACCATGTCAGGCAGTAACTCCACTCTTCTGGTCGACTTGGTTTTGACCTATAGGGATAACACATGAATGGAGAGCAAAACTAATAATGCTTGGAAGTTCCTCACAGACACCATCCACACTTCTCGTCGACCAAGACAAATCCTCCGAGCATCCTCTTCGTAGGGCTGATACTCAACACCCCTGAATATTAAGGAGTCCTCTTGACCCCAAAAAGACCGCATCCATATCCTCCTGATAGTTCGAAGGAATCCATCCAGGTTAGGGACCACGTGCTGGCCCTCACTACGCATGTAGGGCCTGGCAGTTTCCATTCTTGGGCCTGCTTGCTCAACCCAGCAATGGGGGACTTGACCCATGCTGGGGGCTATAAATACCCTCTCACTTGAGAGGGTCGGGTATTCATTCACTCATTCGTAATCTCATACTCACTTGCATTAGCTCTGGACCTCACTTTGGCATCAAAGTGTCTTGCAGGTA